GTCCATCGGTACAAGTGCGTTAATTTCTAGCACGGTACCAGTATAACAATCTTATAGTCACTGCAACATAACTCCACTACATCAGATTGAGCCATGAGCGGTTGTGTACAGAATTAAGCAGAAAAACAGCCAAGTCTCTCAGTTCGTCACTAAATCTAAAGGCTACATCCTCTTATTATCTGATTACAATACTCATTAGACAGCTGCAAATACCGAAACTACAACCAGTATGATTAGCACGTGCAGGATAATTCATAGCCAACTGAAAAGTGATGAATTCGATTAATACAGACCAACAAACTAACCTTGATCAGAGAGAACGACGCCGCTAGCATTAACGGCCGCCGCAATGTCAACGCGTTCGGCAATTAAGAAGTAGGCGCGGTCCTTGACGACGGACTTCAACAAACAGGCGGCCTCATAGAGTTTACCGCCGCTTCCTCCTTGAGCGCTATTAAGCACAACAATCCCGACCGACTTGGCCACGGCTTTGTCGATTAGGTCAAGTACATTGCCTCCACGCAACACCTCTTCGACGTCCAACTGGAGAACGAGATTCGGGACCTTGATTTCGGGACGCTTGTAGCCGCCAGGGTAGAGAGTCCTCCTCGGTTGTTGGTTGTTCTGAGAATCTTGAGACGGATAGGAGTTGGTGTTTAGCGGGAGAGAATGAGCGCGTAAACGAGTTCCGAAAGAAGAGCGGTGTTTAAGGCGAGGAAGGAGGGGAAAGCAGAGGATGGAAAAGAAGGGAGGAGGAGAGGAGGCGGCTGGTATGGCGCGCAGAGGAAGAATGGATTTCATGGGAGTGAAATTTGAAGATGGCGATGGAGAAGAGTGAAGTTTCCGGGAGCTGCGGAGAGGATGAGGATGGCGGTTGTGTGAGAAAATATCCCCTCATCTCCTAACTGCGCTTGTTTATTTAAACGTTTAGCCTCACATATTTTATCCGCTTCAAAAAATCATCCAGAGAAATAAAATTATTTTTTATTTAAAATATTACAATAAAATACATCAAATTATTAAATTTTTCTTTCACGATTTAATTTTATTAAACGAAAAACACGTAATAAAAATTAATTAATATGCTATAATTATTATTATTACAGTAAATATATAATTAATATTTAATTTACTGTAATAATAATTATAGCATAAATCCTTTATCTTCTTAACAAATATTTACGATATATTGGAAAATAAAAATGCACCCGGTAAAGGGAAATAGAATTCGCCACTTCTCTGTGTCTTCTTCCCACTCCTTCTGCCATTCCTTTCTTGTTGATCGCTGCGCAACACCAGTTTCATATCATATTTCTTCTTCTTCTTCACTGATCGCTGCTCGCTTCTTCTCTTTTGAAGCCTCCGTAATCTACTGCAATTTAAGAGGGTTTGTTAAGAATGGATAGGAAATCACCGGCCGCAAAAAAGGCTGAAAAGACTCTCACTGGTAAACGTTACCTCAACTTCTTTTTCTAGTTCTTATATCTGTTTTATATATATATATATAATTACGCGTGCTTGTGTATTACATAGATTTCTGAATATTATTTCTGGTTATGTTTGTGAGGATCATGGTGAGCTGGTTCTTTCTTTCTTGTTAAATGATGATTGCCTAGGTTCTTTTTGAATCTTTTCTATGGAACTATATGCATGGCTCTGATTTACTCTCTTCGCCGACGTTGAACTTTCCTTCTTGCACAATTTCTTGGTTATTCTTTTAAAGTTCTTGAATATATCTTCCCTTCCGATCTTCATCACTGCCGTTTGTTTCATATTTATTCTATTTCTATTCTTTTTTTTGGATAAAAATCAAGAAAAGAGAATTACATATTTTGAATTATTAACTTTACTCGAGCAGTATCACAGTAGTCCAAAT